AACATCATATATACCATGTGCTTGTGTGTATGCCTTCACAACTTCGAGTAGCAATCAGCTATAGTATACTGTATAGCGTGCCTTAAGGTATGTTCAGTAGTTCTTTAGAATGCCTATTGATCTCAGCGTTGATTGCTCGTGCTAGTAGACCATTACCAGTGGTACTCATGATGAAAGAAGCACAAGTAATGAGTCTCGTAGCCAATTACAATCATATTAACTTCGATTACACAATTATCTCCACCACTCCCCACATCATTGGAAGAATTCTTCCGACTGCATATTACAAACTTTGTCCCTTGGAATTCTGTACGCATAGGCAGTGAATTGCTTTCCAATGCATCAAGCTCCCTCCTCCCGCAACGTGAAAGGAGAAAACCCCCAGTAGAACTAAGCAAAACCGCAGATCATTAGTCAACTCTGTACATTACGCACGCTCCTTGCTATGTTATTTCTATTAGAAGCGGGTGAATGGATCACAGGGATGATCACACACACTCACACCAAGGACTGAATCTCAGATGGAGGAATGTCTTCCAATATCCTTCCAATCGAATCGATGTAGGGATATTGCGACAGAGGTCATAGAAATCAAACTCGAACCGGAAGAAGCTCGTCGGACCGTTGTATCAAATGTCCGTCCCATGTCTTGGATGTCTTGGTTGTCTTTTAATAAACCCATTGCAGCGTACGTCGAATTGAAACTTTCTTTCTGCCTAGGATTAATTAACAAGGCCCAGTGAGCCAAGACGGTCACTCCGCTTGCCTGCCTTGACGCTAAGTAATTTCTCCGTGAACCTCCGTCTACTGATTGAGAAAAAATAGCCTACCCCCGCTACAGCACTCTCAGCCGTCTATGCAACGACGCATAAGGACGTAAACGGCATCATCCTGTGTGCTGTTGGGGGAAGGAACAACCACCGCTACTTGAGTGATCACGGTGTATACCAACTGTTACGGTCAATGCTCTACGTTTGGTTAACACTGTCGTGTTCTAACTGGGCTGTGGAACCTGGTTGTATTTTCCGAGTATAAATACCCACATATCTTCTCCTATGATGCAAGAGTTACAGCTGGGAATCTTCAAGTAGCAACAGCTCTACATATAACAGCAGTTTCAACCATGGCTGTATTCAAAAACTTCTTCAGTAAATTTTACAACACGGCAGGTGCACCACCAGAGATATTCAACAGGACTCTGTATTTTGCCATTTTTGTTTTTGGTATCCTGGGCTGTGCCCGTGGTTATGACGAAGGTTACATTGGTGGTATTGTAACGAAGTCATCGTTCAAAAACCAGTTTGGGTTGAATGATCCTACAAAAACAGCAACAGAATTGGCCAATCTGAAATCAAACATCACTTCTATGGTGATACTAGGCTCCATTGGTGGTTCTCTGCTTGCGATGTACTTCGTGGACAAGTTTGGGCGTATTAGAACTTTGCAAGGTGTTTGCGTAGGTTGGATAGTCGCTGTCGTTATTCAAATAACATCGAAAAAGATTGGTCAATTATACGTTGGTAGGCTAATGGAAGGCTTGTGCATTGGTCAAACTGTGGTTATTGGTCCTTGTTATTTGTCTGAGATTGCTCCAAAGAACATCCGTGGTTTGGCAAACTGTATCTTTGCAGGTGCAGTTTACTTTGGCTCCTTCATGTCCAATTTCATCAACTACGGTTGTGCACTGCACATGCCGGCCAGCTCTTCAAAGCAATGGGTTGTGCCAACAGCAATAAAGATTGTGATTGCTGGTTTTTTACTCGTTGGTTCATTCTTGTGTCATGAATCTCCAAGATGGCTCGTCAAGTCAGGCAATGTTGAAAAATCGGGACTTGTACTCTCAAAAATCAGACACCTTCCAGAGGATCATCCTTATATTTTGTCTGAAGTCAGTGATATTCAAGAACAGTTGTATGTTGAAAAAGAGGCTACAGGAAAGGTTTCAAAGCTCAAGGCCCTCAAAGAATTGTTCTTCGTCAAATCAATTCGTTATCGTATCCTGCTTGCCCTTTCTGCTCAGATCCTGGGACAATGGTCATGTGCAGGAAGTATTACAGTTTATATGCCAGAGCTGGTTGCACTTGTTGGTGTTCGAGGAACAAAGAAGTTGCTATACTCTGCCATATTGGGTGTTGTGAAGTTCAGCTCTGCTTATATAGGTGCATTCTTCGTCATTGACTTCCTTGGGCGTAAAAAGGCGCTCTACCTGGGTATGACGATTCAGTTCCTTGCAACTCTATACGTTGCACTCTTTTTCCAGATAGTTCCACAGGCAACTGATGACGATTACACAATGACAGGTTCAAAGAAACACGCTGGTGTTGGTGCATTGGCAATGTTGTTCATGACAGGAGTGGGTTGGACACTGGGTTGGAATTCGATCCAGTACTTGATCAATTCCGAAATGTTACCATTGGGAGTCCGTAATATTGGTACAGCATTGATCATGGCCTTCCATTTTGCAAATCAATACGGTAACACAAAGGCTCTGCCAACTATGTTGATCTCACTGACACCTGCTGGAACTTTCTTCTTTGCAAGTGCAGTTCTTCTGCTTGGTTTATTCTGGGCATGGTTTTTCCTTCCAGAGATTGCAGGGAGATCTTTGGAGAGTATGGAGGACCTGTTCGATTTACCATGGTATGTTATTGGAAGAAAAGGTGCTAAGCTTTGTCCAGATAACTCTGGTATTGCCCATATCAGGGAAGCTGAAGAAGGCAACCTTGATATTAAGAGTGAGCAAGACTTTGTTGAAAATGTCAGTCAAGTCTCAGTTGAATATGACTTGGAGAAGGGCGTCTGAATATTTGCTATTTACGATTTACAAACCTATAATGTTTAAATGATATGATTTCCAAAAGGTATAACTCGTTAGATGCTAAGGACTGGTGCCCCGTTTCAATGTTATCCTATATCTGGAAACATCCTATATTCCAGATTGCAACAAGTAATAGCATGGTAACCTCTGTAGACCCTGTATTTGGTCTTCAAGGAACCTTGTTGAGATACCTCTACTCTGTCTCATGCATAGAGTAGAGAATCCTCCTAACTGACGTTTTTCTGAGTGTTCAGAGGTAACAAGGCCACATTATCCTAACTTTGTCATAGATGCCATGTCGGACTAATTGCTGTACCAAGAGGATACCAGGACAGTCGTACAATTAACATGTACATCATTGTCCTTTCTGTCTACAGAATCACTCACACTGGCACCAGCACCCTGTGGCTCTCCATGCAACCGTCTCACGTACAAGAACAAACGTGAGTGAAAACGGAAAAAAATAGCGAAAGTGTAAACCTGGACACCAACCATTGGCGCAAATATTGGCGCAAATATTGGCGCAACTCGGTGGATGTGTGGTGTTCGGGTGTTATGATACATCTGGCATATACCATCAGCTGTCCAGTGCCCACCTAACCACAGAGATGTACTTTGCCATGTGTGTACTCATTTCATGCCATCTATGTCTCTGGTGTCCTCCTAATTACTTGAATAATTAATTAATTATGATTTTTTTATTATTAAGACCTATGATGCAATTTAGGATTTGAAAATGATCTGCTAAAAGATTTCGGAAAAGTTCAAGAAGGACAAGTATGAAGTCTTTTCATTAATTACAATGAATATATGGCAAATGGTTGTGGAACTTTCAAATATCGTATAAATATATCATATTGGTTTTGTATTATATAGTGTACATATTGTTATACGCAAGCCCATGGACCTTATGAGCACTCATGGACCTCGGCTATGCTAGAGACTGTTTCCTTGTACTCTCATGTTGACATAGACGTTGCTACCGGAATTATGGAATGTTTATACTGTGAAGTATGACTTGTCTTTTGCTCTACTGGTTCCAGAGTTTATTCACAGGTCTTTCCGCATGGGTTATATTCGAATTCTGAGCTGTTGTAGCCAACCTGCCTCTTGGATTGTGCGACCTACTCATATAAGGCTGAATTTGAAGCATTTCCACTATAGTTCTAATACACCTCATCGACTCTTCCTTCCAAGTCTGTGGTGAAAGCTTGTGGCAGCAGTATATTATGTTGTTCCTTAAGGTCGTACAAATACCAGAGAGCCGTCTTTCTGTTAACACACCTAATGTTTGTAACATTATGATCTTCTCCGAGCCTAGATAAAGAATTGATCTACTAAGCCTCCAACGGTATTTATGGTCCTAAATGTGCGGTAATCCAATTAGCATTGGAATCAAACTGGGGCCCAGCTACTTAGACTCTCGGTCTACAACTATTACTATCTAACTGACTGAACACCAACTTCATCACGGTCTTTAATTCAACACATCCGAGACAACAGTACCTTTAACCTGAATATGACGAGCGGATGCGTTTGTAGGATGAGCCATATATATCTCCGTGCCAACTTTTGTATTCTGTGATATTCCACAGTAAAACATGATGTTGGCGACATTCCACCATACTGTATCGCATTCTTCTATGAGTGGATCAAACGTGTGTTCTCTGATTGCATACAATGGGCATTCTGTGAATTATAAGTTTGATAGTGCAAGTGACTGTCCACACATTTTCTTCTCTCACTTATAGTTCAGATGATCTCTATACACTACCATACCATTCTGGCTCCATTTGCCTCGGACCTTACTTCGACAGAAAACTAAGATCAGTAACCTACAGCACTAGCATCATACAAGCTTTCTATCCACACCATCTCACATTCTACCATTGACTTCTTCTTGCTGAACTCCCTCTCAGTCCTGGAAACCACCATTATCACATATCAATGTAAAACATCACGCCTTTGTTAGGTATCAGCTCAGTACAGGAACACTTACATGCTCCTTCGCCGAAAAGTGCATTGCACATGCTTATCCGCATACCCTCTCCGCCGAAAAGGGTATAGCGCATGCTTAGCCACATTCTCTCGCCTAATCAAAGGAGATAAGATCAATCACCAAAGCTGCAATGAACCCATTGGGGTTATTGTTAGCGTTGATCTGCGGCTCAGTCATGAAAAGAACCAAGGCAGCAGATATAAAAGCCGAGTCTTGAGCCACCTTTGGTACTTGTTGTGCTCTCTATACATCGGTAATAAACCAATTGAAGCGAACCACCTATTATACCATGACCTGGCAAGAGATTGCACAACAGAAGAGAGACTCTGTCAATTCTCAGATTCCTAAAGAGTGGCTGTTTGAAGAGAAGCCAACAGATGTGAGAAATGCATACGAATACCTGAATTCTGTCTTACCTGCGGAAGAGACAGCGATAGTTCACAAGTCATTGTTAGAATTGCAAAGGGAAATCAAGGATAAGACACTGACTTCGTATGAGATTACAAAGGCCTTTTGTCATAGAGCAGCTCTGGCGCATCAATTGATCAATTGCTGCTCCGAGATCTTCTTTGATAGGGCCTTTGCTCGTGCAAAGGAATTGGACGAGTACTATGAGACTACCGGAGAGTTGAAAGGCCCATTGCATGGCCTACCAATCTCCTTGAAGGACCAGATCAATCTGGAAGGGTTGGATTCCTCCATTGGCTACGTCTCATTGGCCTTCCATCCAAAGAGCAAAGATGACACTTCGGTAATTGCAGAGATCCTCTACGATGCAGGAGCCGTGTTCTACGTGAAAACTGCAGTGCCAATGGCCATGATGGCTGCTGACACCTTTTCAAACTTGCACGGGCAAACGTTGAATGCTTTTAACAACAAACTATCCCCTGGAGGCTCTTCTGGAGGTGAGTCCTCGTTGATCGGGTGTCGTGGCTCTCTCATTGGTCTATCCACTGATATTGGGGGTTCGATCAGAATCCCTGCCACATTCCAAGGGTTGTTTGCCATTAGAGCATCTACTGGCAGATTGCCATACTGCAAAGTGACGAATTCATATGCTTATCAGCCAATCGTTCCCTCTGTTATTGGCCCATCTGCTCAAAATTTGCAAGATCTGGAGTTCTTTGTGAAGCTGATTATCGATTCGAAACCATGGCTTAAGGACCCTAAATGTCCACCAATCGAATGGAGACAGGTTGAATTGCCAAAGAAGTTGACGATTGGTATCATGAAGAACAATGGCGTGATTACACCGCACCCACCTGTTCAACGTGGTTTGGAACTGCTTGCTGAGAAGCTAAAGAAAGCAGGCCACGAGGTTATTGAATGGGAGCATCCAATCCCTGCGCAGACACTCAAGGACAATTTGTTAGAGATCTTAACAGCAGATGGCTATAGAGAGACAAAGAATGAAATTGCAAAGACTGGAGAACCACCTATCCCACAGTTCCTGGGTTATGAAGACGATTTGAAAGAGTTGACAGTTACTGAGCACTGGCAACAAGCAAAGATCAAATACGAGTGTCAACAGGCTTACGATAAGGCTTGGCTGTCGACAAGTGGTCCAAGTGGAGGACGCATGGATTGTTTCATATCACCAGCTTGGGAATCCACATCTTATCCTGCTGGTGAAGCAAAGATATACCATTGCTCCTATACATACCCTGCCAACTACTTAGACTACACAAGTGTTATCATCCCAGTCACCAAAGTCTCTGAAGAGGATAATGTGGAGGCTGTGTATGAGCCATTGAACGATTTTGACCAAGAGACGAAAGAGTTGTGGGACTACAAGTTGTTCGAAGGAATGCCTGTGTGTGCGCAGATATACTGTATGCGTTATGAGGAAGAGAAGGCCATTAAGATCGCAGACATTGTCACTGAGGCCTTGAAGCAATGAGCGAGCCTTTACTCTTTAGCTAGTTAAGTAAGGAAATAGACATCAGCTTATCTCACGCGTGTGTAAAATCTGTGATACGAGAGATATGACTCACTATTGCAGAGCAGTGTGATTGTCGTTTCAGCCTTATCCTTGCTCGCCATCCTTATCAGTGAGCCCAGCGATGGTGCCATGTTATCAACTCCACATTGGGCTGTCCAATTGAGCATGTCAGGGTGTAGAAGCTGTGTGGCAGAAGGCGTGTGGTGCTTACCTGGCACTCTCTCTCTCTCTCTCTCATACAATTTGTCTCATACAACTTGTCTCATACAACTTGTCCCATACAACTTGTCTCATACAACTTGTCCCATACAACTTGTCTCATACAACTTGTCCCATGTCCACCTTCTACTGAAAAGTTAATCGTGACGCACACTCCTGTGTGTCGTACATGTCAACCTCAGCAACCCCAGCAACCATGCTGCCTCATTACATACAAAGCGCGCCTCAAGCCATTGCCAGCCAAAACAACTGAAGCACTCAGAGCCTGCTTGGCTTCACAGACGAGCTCTCAACAGTGAGCTCTTCAACAGTGAGCTCTCAACAGTGAGCTCAGCAGTGTTGGCACCCGCTGTTTCCTCCCATTTGGCCAAGGGCTGGTGAAGAACACCACCAGGCTTGAAGGACATTTCTACTGTATTCTTCGTATATGCATGAACACAGTGTGCCTCATGCGTCGGTGATCTCTTCAAAACAATTTCCACGGGGATGTTTAACCCTTCCTGAGGGCTACAGCAGTTGATAAAGGGTTATTATCTATCAGGTGATCATGTAGATTGCGTATTATCATAGCTGGAACGGTGCGCTTTCCTCATCTGGAAGACGAGGTGATGGATTTGATTCCAAGAGGTGGAAGGGCCTGTATATAAGTGGCATGGTTTGTTTCCATGTAAATCACCACGGAGGATCTCCAAATAGCACCAATTAACTAGCCTAGGATGACCAGTGGCGTCTCAAATGGGTATATCCTGCCACAGGCCGTCGGTTACGGGTACATCGTCGGTCTTGGTGCGGCCTTTGCGCTCATGATGTGTGGCATCACGTACATCTTGTCAAAGTATATGAATCAACACCAGAATTCTGAGCACTTCACAACAGCCTCCAGAACAGTGAGATCAGGTCTGATCTCCTCAGCCGTCGTTTCCTCGTGGATCTGGCCAGCGTCGCTGCTGACATCGGGCCTGTGGGGCTATACCTACGGAATCAGTGGTGGCTATCTATACGCCGTCATGGGCACTATCCAGATCTTCACCTTTGCCCTGCTGGCCATTGAAATCAAGAGAATTGCGCCTGCTTGTCACACCATCGCAGAGATCATCAAGGCTCGCTATGACAAGCACTCGCACTGGATGTATCTGTTCTACATCACGGCTACAAACATCATGGTTGCCTCTTGTCTGCTACTGGGTGCTTCCCAAGGCTTCAACGCCTCCACGGGGATTAATATCATCGCAGCCAACTTTCTCTTGCCATTGGGGGTCTGTGTGTACACGGCCACCGGTGGACTGAAGGCCACCTTCATCTCAGACTGGATCCACACTGTTATCATCTACCTCGTTGTGCTGGCCCTCTGTTTCAAAGTGTTTTGTACGTCTGATATCATTGGCTCGCCAGGCAAGATGTGGGACATGCTACAGGAAGCTGAGGCCCAGTTCCAGTTCTCCACCGACTACCTCAGCTTCAAAAACAAGGAGATGTTCATGATCACGTGGGCTGTTCTTATTGGTGGCCTGAGCTCGGTGTTTGGTGACCCTTCCTATGGCCAAAAGGCCATTGCTGCTTCTCCAAAAGGTGTTCTCAGTGGCTATATCCTCGGTGGATTGTGCTGGCTTACCATTCCATGGGCTTTGGGCACTGCGGGAGGTTTAGCAGCAAGAGCTCTTCTCGTGTATCCAGGCTTCCAAACATATCCAAACCCTTTGACTGCTCATGAGGCCAATGCTGGCTTGCCGGTGATTTATACCTTTGGTGCCATTATGGGCCAGAGTGGTGCCAAAGCTGCTGTTCTTACTTTGTTCATGAGTGTTACAAGTGCGATGTCTGCGGAGCTCATTGCCTTCTCTTCAGTGGCCACGTTCGACGTCTACAGAGGCTACATCAACAGACAGGCCACTGGTAAACAGCTTGTTCGTTTCTCTCATTTGTCAACCATTGTGTTCTCTGTCGTGGTTGCGTGTGTCTCCATCATCTTCAACTACGTCGGTGTGTCTGTTGGATGGCTTATCTCCTTCTATGGAATCATCCTTGTTCCAGCAGCAGCTGTCATCACGTATACGCTCTACTGGAGCAAGACTTCCAACTTTGCTGTCACCTATGGCCCACCGTTGTCCACGCTAATGGGGGTCGCTTGTTGGCTCGGTGCTGCAGCAGCCTATGGTGATAACGTTGTTGATAAAAACACATTGATGACGGCAGAGGCCTCCATCGTTGGCAACTTTGCTACTTTTGGGGGTGCATTCCTCATGATTCCAGTGCTTTCATACTTGAAACCGGACTCCAAGCCATTCGACTTTGCTGTTTATCGTAATGCCTTCACAGCAGGAGACGATGCCGATGCTCTTGAGGTCAAGGCCATGATCAACACCGAGGAGGAGGAACAGACACTGAGGAAGGCTGCGAAGATCGCCATTGTCTTGAATATCATCCTCATTGGTGGTGGCTATCTGATTGTTCCATTAGCACTGTACGGGTCCGATTATTCCTTCTCAAAGGGCTACTTTACATCATGGGTTATCATCATGATGATATGCCTATTCTTATCGTCTATATACATCATTCTGTTCCCAATATGGCAAGGAAGAAAGGACATCAAGAACCTATGTCTTGCTATTCTTAAGAAGAAACCACAGGTGGAATGTGGTGATATCATTGATGCTGAGAGCTCTGATGCTGAGATGGTCCTGGAGATCAACCAGGAGAAAGAGTAGTCTAATGGCTCGAGTTGAAGAGTACATTTTATAGTGTATGCTAATACATAACTTATCTAATAGTCATTATTTTGGACATCTGCTTGCCTTGTGCGATGGCACTGGATTGCTCTCTCTTTTTGTTCTGGTTGAACACTTTGTAGAACTTCAAGTTCTCATCACCTCCTACTGTAGCAATTGTTGAGCCATCTGGGGACAATTGGGCACTGATGATTCTTGAGTCATGAGCATTTTCAATCTCAGCCACTTTGATCCTATGGTCGAACGAATAGACGCTGATGCTGTTGTTTGGGTAGCCACCAGTGGATACTATTTCACGCCCAAAAGAGTTGGAGGAGCCCCAGAACAACGAGGAGATCTGTGAGCCCGTGTCGATGGAGTTGACCCTTGCACCTGTTGTTGTGTTCCAGAAGTGAATATGTCTATCGGAGGAACCACCACCAGTGGCCAAGAGAGAATTGATCTCTGGGTTCCATGCCAATGCCTTTACAGCAGCAGTATGTGCTGTCTTTGTGAACTGTGCCACTGAGGATCTTGAATCCCAAATACACACAGTGTTATCGTTTGATCCAGATGCAAATTGTTGTCCATCGGCCCTATATTCTAGGCCACAGACTTCACCCATGTGGGCATGCAATGTGTTTGTTATATGGTTCTTAACTCTCACGTCATTGATGATGATTTCACCACTCTTTGAGCCTGCGGAGACCAAGTGGGAAGACCATGCCTGGGACCCAATTCGAACACCGGTATGTGTCTTCATGGTTCTTAGCCTTGTAGAGGACTCCACATCCCAGATCTCTAAAGTGCCGTCCTCTTTACCTATGGACAAATATGAGCCATCCTCGGACCATCTAACAGAGCTGATCAGATGGTCGCAATCGCTCAAGACCTGGACTGAGCCTGTGTTTGCATTCCATACATAGCAGCTTGATTCTAGAGCAATTGCCAATTGATTTTCACAGGACCAGCTTAACAAGTTCAGGTAGAAGTCGTCAACCAAGCCAGGAGCATCCAATACTCTTTCTGGGTTTGAAGAGATCTTTCTGGACCGCAAAGGTTCAATGGTCAGGCCCATGGATCCTTTTCCAGCGGAAGCTGTAGAGAAATTCGAGCTTTGGTTCATCTGTACAAGAGACTTGGAGACAGGAGGCGGTGGCTGGTACTGTAATATCCTCTGTCCCACCTCAATACCGCACGCATCGGCCACTGATCTCTTGTAGATGATTTGCGATTGTGCCTTGATATGCTCCGAAGGGGACGCATTGGAAGGAGGCAGATGCTGTTCTGTTGAGACCCTGCTGTTGCTCGTGGTATACCGTGAAGGTATGAATCTGTCCGTCGTCGTCTGCAGCGAAGCACTCGAGGAACCTTGTCTCTTCAGGGTCTGGTAGATCTTCTCGTGGTCCCAGTCAGGCTTCACAACGTTCAACTTTGTCGGCGACGCCAACGAGAGAGTCGAGCCTTGACGCTTCATCGACTTGCTGGGCGAGCCAGGGAACCTCAGCGTGGTTCTTCTCACCGTGGACTTGGGAGAATCTGTTATGGTACTCGTCATTATGGTATATGTCTAGTGAATGAATGTATGGTGCCAGCGAGACAAATGAAAGAACACAGGACTGTCACACAGGGCACAGGGTAAAGCACACAGAGGGACGATAAGCAATGGACAGAAAGGAGGTTGCTAGCAGCAAAGAAGAAGATGTAGATGGTTAAAAAAGCAAGGATCAGAAGAAATCTCGAGACGTGAAAAGAACCACAGAAACATTGGTGTTTTGTGACAAATTTGAAACTTGTTCAATGTTTACAAATTTCCCAATGCGGTAAATTGATGCTTCATCTTTCGGCTGCTAATGCATGTAATGATGTGCCCGCAAGCGGAAAGGTTATGAGCGATGCGGTCTGTGTGTGGCGGGAGGAGAAGTGGCGGCGTAGACGACGTGTTCTTTAGACTTCGTGGCCAAGTTGGTTAAGGCGCACGACTGTTAATCGTGAGATCGTCAGTTCAATCCTGACCGAGGTCGTTTTTTTTTTTTTTCCTTCAGAGGTTTTCAGGTTGTGGGCGTAGCTGTGGAACTGTTTGTAGAAGATCACTGAATGATGGTTTTGAACGTTGTGACACCTGGGAAGTGTGTACACTTTGGTGGTAATGACGGTATCTGTGCGCCGACATTTTCATATCTTGTGTTAGGGTGTGAGTTATAGGGTACAGTAGCCCAGAGTGTTTTGCTTGATGAGGGAGGAATTCCGTGGGAAAAAGTAAACATCTCAGAACAGTTCAGCATGGGACGGGATAACAATGCAACGAGGGAATACTAGCTTGGTGTAAGCGTAGTTTGTAGGCTCACCATAACGCAAACTCCGACATTGATCATGCTAGTATAAGAGCACACAGAACACACTCAGCAGCCATGGACGGCCTTTTAGCTGCACCAGGTTCTGACGCACACGCCATACGAGCTCGCCTCGTTACGTAAATCTCAATTTGCAAAATGACAAGACAATGAAATGCTTTTTTAAAGTCAACCGATGAACTCATCGACTAAGTACGTTAAAAAAGATTTGCGTCAGAAGCCCAAAGCAAGTGCAATGGCAACGACACCATGCCTCACAGCCAACGAGCAAGCCCGTATGAAAAACCGTTGAAGCCATAGTCCAAAAATAAGAGTAACGAAATAAGAAGTCCTCAGTGAGGACATTCCAGTTGTTACACTGAAAAGAACAGATACTACACTTGATCTAAGCCAAAAGGCAAAGAGATCTTGAAGAAAAGGGAAAAAAAATCTGAAAAAGAAAGAGAAGAAAAAATACAATTGAAAATTTCAAATTTATACCCGCTCCAGGGAGAAAAAACAAAAACGAGACACCCGGACACCACTAAAACGCCCCGAAGGCCGGGTAACATGTGTCCCAATCTTCAACAAACAAATCAACGAAAATGGAAGGGCACCCCTCGTCGAGAGGAGAAGGCAAAGGTTTCAGCCACGGCGGCAACTGTTCTATTACCCAGCGGTTAACGTAAGGATGTCTGTAATCCCAACCATAGAGCAAAAACTTCAAGAGGCGACAATATCTGATAACGAACATGAGCAGCTGAGACAGAGACAACGAGTTGCAGTACAGGCTATTAGACAATTCCTCAAATCAAAGACATCTTATGATGTTTTACCCGTTTCTTATAGACTGATTGTGTTGGACACGTCGTTGCTGGTCAAGAAGTCGCTAAATATCTTGCTACAAAACAACATCGTCTCAGCGCCGCTGTGGGACCCGAAGACTTCGAGGTTTGCCGGGTTGTTGAACTCCTCGGACTTCATCAACGTTATACAGTACTACTTCCAGAACCCGGATAGGTTCGAATTTGTTGATAGATTGACTCTGAACGGGCTGAAGGATGTCGAGAAGGCCATTGGTGTTGAACCCATAGACACAGGTTCGATCCATCCCTTCAAGCCGTTGTACGATGCATGTGTTAAGATGATCGAGTCCCGTTCCAGAAGAATCCCCCTAATCGACGAGGATGAAGATACGCATAGAGAGATCGTCGTCTCGGTGCTCACCCAATACCGTATCTTGAAGTTTGTCTCCTTGAACTGCAAAGAGACGGAAGATCTACAAATGTCCTTGGAAGAGCTGGGCATCGGCTCCAATGGCCCAATATCAACGGCTACTCTGGACACACCAGTGATTGACGTTATCCAGCTACTGTCACACGGATCTGTGAGTTCCATCCCTATTGTGGACGAAACCAACAAGTTGATCAACGTCTACGAGGCGGTGGATGTGTTGGGCCTCATCAAAGGTGGAATCTATAACGATTTGACGCTAAGCGTTGGCGAAGCCCTCATGAGAAGATCAGACGATTTCGAAGGCGTCTACACGTGCACGGTGAAGGACAGACTCGCCACGATACTCGATAATATCAGAAGATCAAGAGTGCATAGACTCTTTGTTGTTGACGATGAAGGCAGACTTGTCGGGGTTGTGAGTCTGAGCGATATCCTAAAGTACATTCTATTCGGAGAGATGGAGTGAAATAACAATAAAGATAAATAATCAATAAACAAAGCAGTCTTTCTCTATGTATCTGTTTGTCTCACCAGTGCGGCACGTCCAAGCTTGTCAATATCATCGTCACAACACTGAACAGTCCTTCTCCAAGGACCAGCCCACTGCTGAATACAATCATCGCAGTCTTGCCCTCGTGGGAATGGCCAGAGCGCTTCAACCAGATGTAGGCAATAACTCCACCAATGAACCTTGCGATGGTGAATGAAGGCGTGTTATATATACCAATACCAACCGCCACTCCGCTAGGCAACCACACCAGTCTCTTCTGAACCGCCGGGTTGTTCTTAAACACGTTCTTGACCAATGAGATGACGCCGAATATCAAGGCGAACACCAGCGACACCTCGAAGGCATACGGCGGCAGCCCCTCGCCTGTAACCAGTCTCGAGCAGTCGATCCATATCACGGACGTCGGTATACGGAACACCTTGCTCGGTATCTCGTAGACCGAGTTGTACACTTTGTACATCACGGACGACAGGAATATCGACCATACTGTTCCTATCAGCTGTGCAACGAACTGTGCGTATGGAGAGGCCCCGATGAGATGGCCAGTCTTCAGATCTTGCATCAGATCACCAGCCTGTTGAGCACCAGCCTCTGCAATGGCGCCAGCAACGAGGTTGACAAGCACAGCGCCTGGGTGGTTTCTGGGTATGATGAAGGCAAACAGGAGCTGTGATAGCTTACCTATCCCGCTCACCGGGTTGAGGTCCGTCTCCCCAAGAGCACGTACCCCCAGTATCGAGAGAAACAGGGCAAGCACGATGGCAACAACAAGAGAGTACACTGGCACGATGGTTGTTCCAAACAGATGGACCATGAGCACTATACAGATCACTGACGATACAAAGAGCCCAATGCTCACTGTTTTGAAGCCCACCAGGTACTGTGCATCCAGCTCACAGCCGTCCTCTGGCTCATGGCCCTCATTTCTTGTCGTGAAGAATTTGATGGCAGACTGTACAGTGACGGTGATGAACGACACCACGCTGTCACTAACCATCACAGCCAAACTCACCCACAGAATCCAGCCTTGAGCGCCAGTCTTCCAATCGTCGATGGGACCTTCAGCCCAACCCTGGGCCTTGCTCAGTGGTGCCAGTATGCCCCAGCCAAGGATCGCACCAAACAGCATGTAGCTGACCGTGGGAAGCCCCATTATGATGCCTTGTCCGATGTAAGCAGGCGAGGGCTGTAGAGTCCAGAGGTAGTTCTCAGCCAGAGATCCACCAAAGATAGGCAGGTTTCTCAGAGATGGGATGAAGTATGAGATCACGGTGTATGCCGACGATACGGAGAAGGTTCCAATCAGTGATCTGACGTTCTTATTGTACAAGATGATGGATTCGTGCTCCTTGATCCTCTGGCCTTCTAGCAGTGCAGTGCGATCAGTAGGCGGCGGAGTCGTAACAGCAGACCCGCCACCGCCATTACCGTCATCATCATCGTCGTCGCTTATCAACAGTTCGTTGTATTCATGTGGCAGCTTCACAGATTGGCAGTCATCATGGCGGACCTCTGTGTTGTGCAATACAGAGATCAACGTGGCAGTGGCACTTCCCGAAGGGAAGGGCAGTCTCTCATGGACAATGACCTGCTTCCTCAAGGGCACAGCGAAGAAGATCCCAAAGAACGCCAGTGCTGTGCACCATACAATCAAGTCGTACGTGGAGAACTTCATCACTCTTCCGATGCCAGACTCTTCAGGTCTGAGGAACTTCTCAATAGCAGGCACAACACCAACCAATCCATAAGCCAGAGGTCCTGTGCCGACAGCAACAGCGATGCTCTGCACGAACACGTTCTCCACATCTGTGAACTCGAAGGCGAGATGCCTTTGAAGGTTCTTGAAGACAGCAAATGACAGCAACGCTGAAGGGAGGGACATCATCGACACCCAGCCTGTTTGGAGTCCGAATTGGAAGTTCGATATCAGTATGATTGATCCGATGACTAAGCCAGCAATGATGGATCTTGTGGTGATTTGCGGTATTGACGGCTTCTCCTTCCACGGGAGCTCCTTCCAATGAGTTGTCATGGCTCTTCTGTGTCTATTCTACGTTGTCTAGGTTGTAGTGGGAAGATTTGTCGAGGAAGAAATGCTCATCTCGATGGATTCGGTATTAGTCAGTTGGGTATTAACCAATTTTGATACTGCGGAGAGCCACAGTGGAATGGGTTTCCCCATTGGGTGCGTAAACGCGGGCTTGCGCACCGCTCTGGGTAGGCGGGAGGGAGGGGGAGGAGTGCTGCCCAGCTAGGCAGGGCGCTCCCACAGAGCTAGGCAGGGCCGGCTTACACAGCTAGGCAGAGCTCTATACAGCTAGGCAGAGCTCTACACAGCTAGGCAGGGCCGGCTTACACAGCTAGGCAGAGCTCTACTCAACATTGAATTATGACCTTAAAGACACCCTAGCACGACCAAGAGTTCACTTTTTCTTATTCAGCTCCTTGTGCCTCATCTCTTTCATCTGTGTATCCCTGTGGAACTCGACCCGGCTGAGGAAGTCCTGTTTAGCCAGATATCCGTCCTTGTTATGTTGAACCAGCTCATCGTTTATGCCTTCTTTGTCGACAAACTGTGCAAAATCGAGCTTGGACTTCTCCAAGGTGTTAAACTTTGGTTTTATAGAACCGTTGATGATCCCCTCCAACAATGGAGGTCTCTTCCTGACGATCCGCAGCTTTTCACCGCGTTCGTTGACATTGGTGGGCTTCTTGTCTTGTTCCTTCTTGTGCATAGACGTTGAGCTTTCAACCTTTAGCCTCTCCTCGTCCTTCAGACCGTTCAAGTACTCCTGGGCCTCAGCAGACTCCCTGTCCACCCACTTCTCCTCGATAACCGTCTCTCCAGCGTAGTCGTATTTCCTCTTAATCTTGATCCTCTCATGCGCCAGTTCCTCCTCCCTGGGCTCTCCCTGGTGTGAGATCCTTGTCACGTTGGCACTGTATCGACACCGGAGCCTGTCAGAAGATGCCTTCTGTAATTTCAACCACGCTTCGTCAACGTCAACATCTCCTCTCAAGTTCAGCACTGACTTGTATTCTCGTTCATGGGTCTCCAGCTGCCTCTGCCTTCTCGTCTTTATCAGCCCGCCTTCGCTACTCTCAATCTTTGAGTAATTGGCACTCTTGACCTGTCTCTCTGTCTCCTCATCATCGCTCCTCTTGTCTATCTCGTGGTGTCAGTATTCCGCATTGCTCAAACACAACAAGCCGGTAGACTCACACTCATCCTCGTCACCGTCATCGCCACCGTCATCGCCGTCATCGCCACCGTCTACTTCGTCCGGATTGAAGTCCTCATCTTCCTCTTCAACGTACTCGTCCTCTTCTCTGCTGTGATGCTCTTCTTCACTCTGTTTCATCGGGCCTGTCTCCGTGGTATCGGTTTGTTGATGTTTTCACGCTTGTGTTTGTGTATGTATTTTTGTTAGTCTCGACAACTTTTTCCACCTCATCGCAGGCTTGTTGATACTCATCTCTTTCGCAAGTTATCGGTTCACTCATGGACTTTGACCCGTTAAGCTTCTTCACACCGGACTCTACAGATGGTGACGATCACGTGGATACCAATAACGGTGTTATTCCCCGCGATGGTGGTGATGTAGGCGGCTTCATACCCAACGTTGATGATGGAGACCTTGAAGATGGAGACCTTGAAGAAGGTCCACTACACATACTCGATTTCCCACAGCTGAACGGGCGCTTGCCCGCTGCTGTCCTCATATCACTGCTGAAGCTGCTGGCACGGAACGAGGAGACGAATTTCGGGAAGGAAGAGACGTTGATGCTGGACCAGCTGCTGGTGCAAAGGTCCATTGATCTTGAGGATTACGGCTTCACGTTACAATGGCTCAGAGATCACGGGTACGTGAAACTGGCCCGTTGTCTGCCAGATGTTCCTTTCAACCAGGATACTTTCCAATATCTGAACAAGATCCTGTCTTCACACTTCATAGAGGACGCTGATATTGCGCAGTTGACCTCTCTGAGGATCTCGGAGAACTGTGGTAGAACAGCACGCCCACAGTTCACCAGAAAGATCATCATCGACCATCTGGAGACCCCCATCTTGCTCAATGAGCCTGCACTAACGTCCGATTCCCTGGGCTTGAAGACGTGGGGATCTTCCCTGGTGTTGAGTGAACTCTTAGCAAAGACACACGAGGGACTGGATATTCATGGTGAGATATTAGAACTAGGGGCAGGTACAGGGCTAGTCGGCATAACACTCAGTAAGCTGGGCTATGAAGTTGTATTGACTGATTTACCAGAGATACTGGACAATTTAAGGAAGAACGTTGAGCTGAACAGCGTTGATTCGGAGTGCCATGTATTAGATTGGACTGATCCTTCGTCATTTGTTGAGATAAAAGGTCCCGATGTTAAGTACACCACTGTTGTTGTTGCTGACCCGATATACTCACCTGAGCATCCGCAATGGGTGGTTAATATGGTTGATAGATTCCTTTCCAAAAGCTCAGAATCACAGCTACTTATACAGATTCCCCTTAGACAGCTGTACGAGTCTGAAAGACAACTTCTCTGGAGTTTATTGAAAGAGATTGGCTTACGAGTCGTTGAGGAGCAGTACGTTGATGGGTTTGACGACTTCGGAGAGCAGAAGTTTGTATATAAACGGTTGAAATGGCAGCTATAGCTGGTATTCGTCGAAGTACACAACGTCTTCGGATGCTTCCTCCGATGCCATGAAGCTCGCACTATCGAATATCGAGAAATCGTTCTCCATTCTCTCCTCCTTGAGGTCCACAACGCTTTGCATCGTGCTTCTATAGCAGTCCAAGCTGACCTTTTCAAACTTGTCATCGTAGACGAGGACTTCACACAGAGATCTTATATCATTTTCAATCAGCTCTTCACTTGTGACTTGGCTCTTCGATATGAATTCCAGGATTTCGACAACTGTACAGTAGTTCTTGTAGCTTGGAGCATACAAGGGGTTATTTGATAAGCTCATCTCGGTCTGGAACACCTTTGGGAATGTCTTGCCGGTGACAAATCGCCAAATGATGGTCAACAACGAATCAACAAACTCCGAGTCCAACTCACCGTCCGTGAACCAGGGGCCTCCAGTGACTTCAATGGACGGAGTCAGGTGGTACAGCATGTAGATCTTTCTGGTAGGGAACTTGACACTCTTCACGACTTTGATATACCGTTGAGATTCCAGCGACTTCAGCGATCTCAGCACGATGTGTTGGTGAAGATTGGTCCTGGCCTTGATGGTCTTTGTCCATATACCTTCACGGCCACTGGCCTCAATGTGCGAGTAGATCATTGCTTCATCAGCCGACATGTTCGACCTCTTCGCAGCCTCCTGAGGGTCCACGGCCTGGAACCTCAACTCACCGTTCTGTTTGGCCAGCTTAACAAGGCTCTTGTTCAACAGCACCTGCACTATAACCATGAGATCAGCAGCACTTTCCACACCGGCAATGTGTCGTAGTTCTGGCTCGGAGAAGAACGTATTCTCGGGCTCCTTGAGCATGGCTTCGTGTAGCTTCTGGGCTTCGTCCATCGTGTCTTCCACCTCTCTCTGTTTCGCTGGCTTCGCTAGTGCTGTTTAGTACCTCATCGCTCGAGGAAATTTTTTTTTGCTTTCTCCGTGCTTAAAGTTTACACCGGGTCGCATATCGCACTGTGAAGAGGAGCAGACAGGGCGAGGAAAGCTGATGAGTTTAAGGAAGCCAAAGAGTGTTATCATCAAGCACGACGAGTCAGATAGTTCTGGTGGAGGAGAGGATCACAACGAGACCATTTCCAGCTCCGTGCGGCAAGTGAAAGGTGAGTTAGATGGCTTTATGGGCTGTGTGCTTAGTACTAACAGAGGGTAGCAAGGAAGAAGAAGGGGAGGGCGAAGAAAGTGACGGTAAACAAAGGTTTTGAGGATGAGGACGATGTGGAGGCGGGCCTGTCAGCTGAGGTGAAGCTGGCGAAGAGACCAGTACCTCTTTTCGAGGAGTATAAGGACGATGTTGGTGGGTATATGAACGAGATCAGGGAAAAGATGAGTAAGGCTAAGGAGTACATAACCGTTCCAGTGGAAGATGATGCGATCCTGGAGCCCGAGGAGGACCCACTGGATGATGGAATGCTGCCACTGACCACCAAGGATGCTGAAATGCAGAGGAAACTACGTGACATGGAGATCAAGGAATCCATGTACGATCTGTGAGTGTAAAGGTTTAAGGCCATGATGGCAGATTTACTAACAGTTCCAGTGAGCTGGACTTTGAAGGGGAAGCAGATACGGGAGGTACGGCTATCAAGATGAATCTACTGCCAGATGGGAAAGACTATAAATCGGAATTGGAGCTGGAGATACAACGGCTTGAAATGTCAAGACAGGAAAGACTGGAGTCCCTGGAGGAATTATCGTCTAAGAGGGCCGAGTGGAACGTCCAGCTGGTCCAATTGGCCAATGAGGTGAAGCTGTTAGCCGGTGAATGAACACACAAGGCTGTATCTTATTGCTGGTGCCGTCTAGTTGGAGTCGATTCTCCCCGTGTAGGCTCTCCGCGTAGGCTGACTGTGTAGGCTGATCGCGTAGGCTCTCCGCGTAGGCCCTAGGCAGGGCGCGACGGCGTAGGCAGAGCCCCCCACGAACGGCACCGGGTGGGTGGAAAAAAAACCTATGACTCTTTCCCACTGTAACACCTCAACATCGGAATAACTCTACACTCTTCTTCACAACCGTATACAAACAATGATGTCCATAAAGAGAATGTTCTCATCATCTTCATCGTCGAAGATCCGTCACCTGGTATCAATCAGTGATCTCACCACCAAGGAGTTCAACCACCTCGTGGATAAGGCCATTGCGTACAAGGCCGTTGTCAAGAAGAACGACATCAACGACATCAGAGCCCAGCACGACAAGTTGCTGGGGAAGACGGTGGCATTGATCTTCTCCAAGAGATCTACCAGAACCAGGCTGTCGTCGGAAGGTGCCTCTGCATTCTTTGGTGCCCAACCAATGTTTTTGGGGAAAGACGATATCCAGCTCGGAGTCAATGAGTCCTGGTACGATACTACAAAGGTGATCAGCTCCATGGTTAGTGCCGTGTTTGCCAGAGTGAACTCTCACGATGAGATCCTACAGCTCACAAAGCACTCCGATGTTCCAATCATCAACTCTCTGTGTGACAAGTACCACCCTTTGCAGGCCATCACTGACATCATGACGATTAGGGAGACATTCCCAGAGACAAAGGGTCTGAAATTGGCGTGGATTGGAGACGCCAATAACGTCATCAACGACCTGTTCATTGCGTCTTTGAGATCCGGTATCGACGTTGCGATTGCCACTCCACAGGGGATTGAGATTGATCCTTCTGTCGTTGAGAAGGCTAAGGAGGTTGCCAATGAAACAGGAACCTCATTCTTCCTCTCTCACGATCCATTGGAGGTGTCTAAGGGCTCCAACATTCTTGTCACCGATACCTTTGTCTCCATGGGCGAGGAATCACAAACTGAGCAGAAGTTGAAGCAGTTCAAGGGCTTCCAAATCTCAAAAGAGCACACACAGCTGGCTGCTCCAAATTGGAAGTTTATGCACTGTCTTCCACGTCACAAGGAAGAGGTTACGGATGAGGTGTTCTACTCTGAGAACTCTGTAGTATTCCCAGAGGCTGAAAACAGATTGTACGCTGCAATCTCTGTGCTCGATACCTTTGTCATTAACAAGGGCGACTTCACCAAGTGATTGTTCTATTTGATCTATATGTATTTAGTTAGATTTCAATAGAGCCTCCAGCGTTATCCTTGGTAGCTCACAATTAGAAATGTGGCCCTTGGAATACTCCAATGCCAAAGTGTTTGAATAAACCGGTTTAACATTACCTGAACAGCCAATAGTGATGTGTGGGAACTCATTCAAGACCTGTAATTCGTCGTGGTCTTTGAACTTGACATCCTCAACGAGCACAGTAACGATATCTTTGTTCCAGATGATTCTTGATAGCGTTATGGAAGCACGTACATCTCCCTTCACTTGTCCATACAGTTTCCACTGCTTGGAAAACTTCTTCCTCTGTGCAATGTGCGCACAAGTAACGTGGAATTCCTTTTGAATGAGTCCTTGGGCCTTTAAAGTCCAGTACGTACAGTCATTTGGCACGCTAGACTCAATGGCTTGAATAACTGGGCCCATTGGGATGTCTAGGCTGTAATACATCACAGGTGTTTCAACTTTAAACTTGTCCAGCGTTGTCTTGAACTCTCTGGCTTTATCGTATGCCCTTCTGAAGTCTTCAGTTGGAGGGATATTATCAACCAAGAGTGGATACTTCTCTTGTAACTGTTTCAGGACGGTGATTGCATTCTTGATCGAGCCTTCTGGGTCCAGTGGGTTCAAGTCTATAACCAGATCAAAGCTGGAATCGACCCCGTTTACATCAATAGGCTGGAATCTGCTTAAAAAGCCATTCATAATCTTTTGAGCCAGGTTGGAATCGCTGTGTGCCTTTATAGATTGGTGGTTATCGCCTCTTTCCATGACTCTCTCCATTGTCACACTGCGTACCTTGGAAATGTCGACACCGGAGGGAATGAAGTTCAAGGCAACAAATTGCAAGTTCTCCTCTGGCTGCAAATAATCCTGGGACAGCTTGTTAAAAGTCTCAAACAGTTGCTGTCTCTCTCTTATCTGGTGGTTATTTCGATCCATGATAACGACACTATGAGTCTTCAGCAGTTCCAGCCCACGCTTCACAAACTGCGTGGCACCATTCTTCCCCTTCGGTATGTCGTCATTGCTAATCATTGACCAATTCGGAAACAGCTCCTTCAAGATGAGCCCGACAGTGGACTTTCCACACCCAATGGTTGCCACTGGAACTAAGACGAACTTCGTATGCCCGTCAATCTTCATGGTTTCCATCAACGCAGCCATGTCCAGCTCCCTGAGGGCTTCGCTATCGATGATGTCGGACGCTGTCATTCCAGAGCTCTCCAGGAACCTATTCCTCAACTCAATAATACCATGACCATTCATGTATCTCTCGCGCATCAGCTTGTCTCCATCTAGCAGTGGTATAACAAAGTCCAGATACCTTTTGGTGATCTCTCTGTGCTTGGTGACGTTCTTCCTCACGCCGTCAGAGATGTAGCTCTTCGTCACCTCCCTCCACTGTCTGTACATCAAATACGGCTCCTCAAACTTGAACTTGAAGAGGAAGTCATCACCACCGCGATGGCATCGAATGACAAACCCTTCCGTCTCCCTGCCCTTGTACATGCCGGTCTTTGCAAACGTCTCCAGCGTGGCCTTCAGCTCGCCAACAGACTCCACGGTGAAGTAGTCAACAGCTCTGAAGCCGTACTTGTCGGCAACTTCACGCACCTGTGGCATCGGCATCGTCCTGAAAGCCGCCTCGTTGCTGTTTATACCGTGGAGGTACATCCCAGCGTGCTCTCGTGAGTACTCAACAACGTGCTCTTCGAACGAGTCATCACAGTATTCCGCAACCGCCGTGACGTTCTGGTCGTGGAGCCAGAGAGCAAGCTCTCTAGGCTCAACACCGTGTGCCTGTAGCTGCTGGCACAGGAAGTCCTCGCCAGCCGCCGCGTGGTTCCTGTTGATGTCCTGTCGTGAGCCATACGAGTGCTTTGAGCATACAACAAGCGTACCGTCCTCCAGCCCGCTCACCAGGATGATACAGCCATTCTCCTTCACAGTGACGGTGTATGGGCCCTGTGTGTCGCTCTCGATCGAGCTCCACCTGGTGGAAGCAACCTCGTCCACGTTGAAGAACTTGTCGTAGCCTCTGACGACGATCCGCCCGTCCATCGTGAACAGGCCTCGAGCATTGCACGGTAGTTTGATCTTGGGCTTGCCGTAGTCCCACTCGTTGAATCTCCACGACGTGAGCTTGGAATGGTGGTTTGCGACGGCGAATTCCCGGCGCAGCGCCTTGCCCTTGCCTGTGGCCCTAGTGGCCTCTTCCAGCTTCGCGATCAGAGGGTCCATCACGGTGCCATTTCAGCGTCTTTCTTTGGTGGTTTGTGATGAAGTTTTTCGATGATGTTTGTTGATGTTTTTCCACCGCCTCTGCGCAGCAGACACTCGCAAGAAACACCGGAGGGTGGGCCGAGGGCGGTAAAATTATAACTCATGAGAAGATTATTCTGAAGCGCTCATTGTACTGCTAGTGATGGTCTATACCAGTGTACGTGTACCAAATAGGTCGGTGCCATTGAACGTTCACCCGTTACGGTAACCATTCCCAAAGCGGTCATAATGGCGGACCTCTGTACTGTGGCTTCACCGCTTTGTCTGGGTATATAAATGCTACTCTGGAGGCTCATGTGGTGATCGTTTGTCTCTGCTCAATGCCATTGATCCACAGATGTTCTCCAGGTTGAGGTTTGGTAGGTTCAGAAGGCCGCTAAGGCTGGCGAGATCCTCCGTGGTGCCATCATCAGTCGTATACTTCCTCGGAGGTGTGGGTGCTGCTACTGCTTATTACACGCTGAACAGGCCGTCTGGTCCGCTCTTTGTCGGCTCTACTACGAAGCTTGAGCATCTGAGTCCAATTGAATATGGTTCCTCTGGTGATTTCGACGTTGCTGTTGATGAAATTACACAGATTGTTGGTGTGGACCATGTGAGCATATCGCAGTCTGATATTGAGCACCACAGCGACTCGTACTACCAGACACACCACCCTAAACCGGGCCAGGTGCCCCGTGTTGTTGTGTACCCGGCATCCACTGAGGAGGTGAGTGAGGTGATGAAGGTGGCATACAAGTACAAGGTCCCCATCGTGCCCTTCACTGGTGGTACTTCTCTGGAAGGCCAGTTCATCGCCTCGAGAGCCGGTATAACCCTCGATTTGAACAGGCTGGACAAGATTGTTAAGCTCAATGAGCTCGATTTGGACGTCACAGTGCAGCCAGCGGTCGGCTGGCAAGATCTGAACGAGTATCTTGCGCCATATGGGCTGCTGTTTGGCCCTGACCCCGGTCCAGGTGCTTGCATTGGTGGTATGGTGGGAACGTCATGCTCTGGTACAAATGCCGCTAGATATGGTACTATGAAGGAGAACGTTCTGGGCTTGACCGTTGTTCTAGCAGACGGTACCATTGTGAAGACTAAGAAGAGGCCCAGAAAGTCGAGTGCTGGTTATAACTTGACTGGCTTGTTTGTCGGCAGTGAAGGCACCCTTGGAATTGTGACAGAGGCGACGCTGAAGCTATACGTGAAGCCAGAGGAGGAGACCGTTGCAGTGGTTAACTTTGATGATATCCAGCAGGCTACGAATGCCGTGAGCGATATTGTTTCAAAGGGGATCCAGGTCAATGCAGTGGAGTTGCTGGACACGAATATGATGAAGTGCATAAACTTTGTTAAGTCAACCTCCAAACAATGGGTTGAGAAGCCAACTCTTTTGATCAAGATTGGTGGCTCGAAGACCATTGTTGGCGAGCTTGTCAAGTCCATTCGTGACATCACTAAGAATAATGGCTCCTCACAGTTCCAATTTGCACAGACAGAAGAAGAGAAGGCCGAGCTGTGGTCTGCACGTCGTATGAGTCTGTGGTCCACCATAGATTGGGGAAAGAAGACCATATCTGAAGACGTTAAAGTTTACATCACTGATGTTGCTGTGCCGATCTCCCGGCTCTCCACTGTGATTGATGAGACTAAACAGGACCTGGATTCTAACGGCTTCAAATACACCATCATAGGACACGTCGGGGACGGTAACTTCCATGCATTGGTCCTCTACAAAGACGAGCAGGCAGACGAAGCCAAGAAGCTGGTTGGGCGTATGGTTGATCGTGCTTTGGAGAACGATGGTACGTGTACAGGAGAGCATGGTGTTGGTGTTGGTAAACGTCAGTACCTGGTACAGGAGGTTGGCGAGCCTACAGTAGACACCATGAGACGTATTAAACTGGCACTGGATCCGCTGAGACTGTTGAACGCCGACAAGATCTTTCAAATAGATCCAACGGACAAAGATCACTGAAGTATGCCTTTATATAGTTGAAGAGTGTGGTTTGTCTGCTTGGTTGTAGGTGAATGTAGTTTACGTTGCTTAGAGGCCACAGTACAATTTCCCCATTCGGGTTAATAGCCGGGGCCTTTGACGCTGGCGCATACGATGCAGCCTGTTTATTTATCCGTCGCCTCCTCTGGGGAAGTTTAATTCGACGTCCTAGTCTCATTTGCTCATGCACTCTGTATCTAATTCTCGGTGGTATTAAAGAGGAGAAGACGATGATCATCCAGTTTCCTTTGTACGAGTTCTTGACCGTGGTAAAGGCACACATAGCGTCAAGACTTTTTCGGTGTAATTATCGGGGTCGGGACCCGGAGAAGATGTAAAAGCGTTTTGAAAATGGTTCTGTTGGCGTGATTCTGCGCGTATTGTGGAATAAAAGACAGGGTGTGCATTGTGGAGATGCCATTAGTCATTCCCGTTATAGCTTGTCGAGTCTCCAGAGTGCGTATTAGAGGCAGTGGGACTTTTTTATGGGTGTTTTAGGCCCTGTTTCTGTTGGGGTTATGCTTGAGTCACACATCCCCTTCATGCACCTTGCAAGCTCCTCTCTATTGGGTAAAACATGTTGTATTGGAGCCCATCTTGAATGTGACCACACTGCCATGATATATATCATTGGCTGGATGTAATTCAATTGGCTGTTTAGACCGCTGGGGGTACACTGCCAGCGCCAATTGAACTGTGGAGCGTTCCGTACCGCGAGAGGCGACACGCATTAGTTAATCCGACATTGCGGCTAATAGTCAACAAGAAGGCTTAATACCGCTGAACAAGAAACATGCTTTCTCACCAGGAACCCGGCTCTTTGACTCGTAAAACCTACCCTTTCATTCACTTAACGTCTTCAATTCATCACCTGATTGACAATTATCCAACGATGCTCCTTCGCTCTCCGTGCCTCTGCACCAAAACAAGCGCTTTCAATTTAACCGCTTTCTGTTACTCCGTTCCAACTTCCTACAGTTATTCCCCCTTTTTTTCCTTTATCTTTTCTCCGCAAGCGGATAAACTCCACCGTTGTGCTACATGCAAGCCTCATTGAGGATATTTTATGTACGGACCTCCACCAACGTAAAAGGTAGTCATCAGCACATTTTGGGACTAGAAAGACTGTAGGGACTTGCAGCCTGGAATTTTTAAAAAAAGACTATAAAGCTAGGGCACATTCCTCCAAAAAGCCCTCATTGACTCGAAACCTGACTTCACAACTTCAGCGTTGTAAGCAAAACTGAACAAAATGGCAGATTTTGATATTGAACAAGTCCTCTCACAGCTCACCACGACGGAGAAAATTGGGCTCATCTCCGGAATTGACTTTTGGCATACATATCCAGTCCCTCGACTCGGTATTCCATCGCTGAGATTCTCCGATGGTCCAAACGGTATCCGTGGTACAAAGTTCTTTGATGGTGTTCCTGGTGCTGTTTTGCCCAATGGAACTGCGCTGGCGTCGACTTTTGACAAGGAGCTGCTGAAGCAAGCTGGCCAATTGGCCGGTGTTGAAGCGAAGCACAAGAGTGCTCATGTTGATTTGGGCCCAACCACTAACATGCAAAGAGGTCCACTGGGTGGCAGAGGGTTCGAATCCTTTAGTGAAGACCCTTACCTGGCTGGTATTGCGAGTGCAAAGATCGTTCAAGGCTTACAGAGCCAAAACGTTGCAGCCACGATGAAGCACTACGTTGGTAACGATTTGGAGCATGAGAGGAACTCTTCCGACTCCCTCATCACTGAGAGGGCTCTGAGAGAGATTTACCTCGAGCCGTTCAGATTGGCTGTCAAGTTTGCTGATCCAAAGGCCTTCATGACGGGTTATAATAAGGTCAATGGTGAACATGTTTCTCAGTCTGTGAAGTTTCTCAAGGAGATCTTACAGGAAGAATGGGGCTGGGTCGGTACCATCATGTCAGATTGGTATGGTACATATACCTCTAAGGAATCGATCCAAAACGGGCTGGATATCGAAATGCCAGGACCTCCAAGGATCAGAACTCAGCAACACGTCACTCAGCAGCTTTCCTCGAGGGAGTTGCACTTCAGAGACTTGGATGACAGAGTGAGAAATGTCCTGAGACTGGTCAAGTTCTGTAAGGAATCCGGCATTCCGGAAAATGGCCCTGAAGATGCTGACAACAACACTCCAGAGACTTCTGAGTTCCTCAGAAAGCTGGCTGCTGATGCCATTGTTCTCTTGAAGAACGAGGATGGCGTCTTGCCGTTGAAGAGAGAAGAGACTGTTGCTGTCATTGGTCCAAATGCCAAAGTGTCTGCGTACGCAGGTGGTGGTTCTGCTTCCTTGCTGCCATACTATACCGTTACGCCATATGAAGGTATTGCCAACAAGTTAGGATCAGAGCCTCCATACTCTGTAGGATCCTATTCCCATGTTTCGCTTCCAGGCTTTGCCCATTTGTCAAAGAATCCATCCACCGGTGACAAGGGAATGCATATTACTTTCTACCACGGTGCTCCTGGTGAGGCCGATAGAAAGCCATTCGACCAGTTTGATACAATGGCTTCTTTCCATATCTTGTTTGACTATATTCATCCTGAAATCACGTCGCAATCAACTTTCTACGCTGATTTTGAATCTCTTTATACTCCAGAGGAGACTGGTGATTATGAGTTTGGTTTGGTTGTGGTTGGTACAGCTTTGTTGTACGTCGACGACCAATTGGTTGTTGATAACAAGACCAAACAAACCCATGGTCAATCTTTCTTCAACTCTGGTACAATCGAGGAGACTGGAAAGATCCACTTGGAAAAGGGTAAGGAGTATAAGATCCGTATCGAATTCGGTTCAACAAGTACTTATACTCTTAAGGACAGAGATGGCGTTGATTTCAGTTCCAATGGTGCCATCAGCTTTGGCTGTGCGAGAGTCATCGACGCTCAAGAAGAGATTCTGAAAGCTGCTGAGTTGGCCAGATCCGTGGATAAAGCCATTGTTGTTATTGGAACCAACGGTGAGTGGGAATCCGAAGGTTATGACAGAAAGTCCATGGCATTGCCAGGTCATGTTGATGAATTGGTTAGATCTGTGATCAAAGCCAATCCAAACACTGTCATTGTTAACCAGTCGGGTACTCCAGTGGAATTCCCGTGGATTAAGGAGTCAAAGGCCGTGATCCAAGCTTGGTTCGGTGGTAATGAGCTTGGTAACGCCATTGCCGACGTCTTGTATGGTGATGTTAACCCAAGTGGTAAGCTGTCACTGACATTCCCAAAGAAGCTGGAGGACAACCCAACATTCCTCAACTTTAGAACTGAAAGAGGCCGTGTCCTCTACGGAGAAGACATCTTTGTCGGGTACAGATACTACGAGAAGCTACAAAAGCAAGTAGCATTCCCGTTCGGATTTGGTTTGTCTTACACAACTTTCCAGGTATCCAATTTGCAAGTGTCTGTTGATGAGCCAAACAACAAGATCAACGTCTCCGTTAACTTGAAGAACACAGGTGCTCTTGAAGGTAAGGAAGTTGTTCAAGTTTACATATCCAAAACCCAGTCCGAAGATATCATTAGACCTGTTAAGGAACTCAAGGAGTTCGAGAAGGTGTCTCTGAAGAGTGGTGAAGAACAAACAGTCAAGTTTGAGCTCTCTTTGAAGGACTCGGTCTCTTTCTTTGACGAATGGGAGAACAAATGGTCTGTTCAAAGTGGTGAATACTCTGTTCAAGTTGGATTCTCATCTGATGATATTGAGCTCACTGAAGTGTTCAACGTCGAGAAGGCGTTCTTCTGGACCGGGTTGTGAATCCCTACTTCTGTTGGAATGGAAGAAAAGAACAGATGTTGTAATTAATCATCGTGAATGCTAAATACTAGTCTCTTGACAGCTTTATCCTTTTGTAGATCTGTTTCGCTGTGAGATCTCTTGACGGAAGCATTGTTGGTGCCCATGGTTATGTACCGTACTCTGTCCTTCCTTGGGGGAGTGACATAGCTTGGTATCACAATCTTGCCATCTCCAGTCCACTTTGTATCTAGCAAATAGGTACCAGTAGCCCCGTCCCCCAGTCTGCTGTTGTGAGCGTGGTAGTGGATATACGATGGGAACTGAGCGATGTTCAAATCTTTCATTGGAGCTCTCTTGTGACGTTTCACCTCGCGACATGGAGTTCTGTTCTCCTTGTCCAGCACAACGTCATTCTCATCACAGATACTGGCAGTAGCAATACGTTGGACATTTGTATAATCAGTAGCATCTTCAAAGATCTTGAAGCCCAGCTTTGGCACAGGCTTGGTAAACAGCCCTCCGTCTATCACCTGCTGTTGAGACTTGGTTGGCGACCGTGTTGGGGACTTAGAAGGAGACTTAGAAGGAGACTTGTTAGGAGACTTATTAGGAGACTTCGAAGGGGATCTTGAACCGAGCGTCGTCCGCACAAGACCCTTCTTCTGTGAGCTCAAGCTGTTTGAGTCTTTGGAAGAGAGAGCCTGCCTCTTAGCCGGTGAGGGAGTTCTTGAAAGCATCGTCGACACACACAGAGAGTCAACCTGATCACAACGAACAAAACTGCTGGAGGTGCAAGTATAAGTTTCGTTCCTCTTCCTTTCTTTCTTTTTTTGCTATGATTCTTAGCCTTGTTGCACTTACCGTGGCTTGTTGCCTTGCTTTGTTTTGCATTTGGAGGGAAATCGCGTCAAATTTCACCTCAAACCGCGTTTTCGTGGATGCTCCGGTTGCCATGGAGAACAACCAGGTGTGTGTTGGCATGGTTACGTTGAAGAGACACGAAGAGCATTGTTGGTCAGTTTGGGATGGAGTAGCAGTTGAAGAAGCTGAGAGAGAGAGAGAGAGAGAGAGAGAGAGAGAGGCTATCTGACGTACTTTGGAGGCCTGCTGTCGTCGTATACGCCATCACTGCATATCCAGGCCAATGATTTGAACTTCAAGGGCTTGTTATGTTTACCGGGCTTCACTTGTGAATAGCTTGGTGGTGCTAGGTTGTGCTCTTCATTTGCATTTCTGTGTAGTAGAAACACCGGTGCCTTGAAGACGAGATCGTCCTTGACGTCGTCCCAGGTGTGTATTTGGATCTTTTCATCAAGAGGAGGTTGGTCGTCGATGAACTCGTCCTCGGTGATGAAGATTGGATGCATCGAGATCTGGATATAGATGTAATGAGATATCCTCAACTCTGGTGCTGGCGATCCATCTTCATTTTCCCCGTTGCTTGTGTAAGGGAACACATCGAAGTTAAGGGTCTGTGGGATCTTGATCGTTGTCTCAAGCCTGAACGGGTCGTATGGGTCTTTGGGGGGCCCATAACTTTTCATCCACAAGGTTTGTCTGTTGAACAAGGTATACGGCTCAGTAGGGGCAGAAGAGGGACATTTGATCTTCTGCACAAAGAGGACCCGTACCGACTTTACGACACCTGAGCAGTTAATCATCGGATTTGGTTGTGTTTCCACCGAGATGTCGAATGGTTTCCCCAACTGGCACACCCTGGACGATACCAATACCGAATAAGGCATCACACTGTGCCATGACCCTATGGCCCCCACACAGTCATTGGCAACTAAGGACCTATCCAAGGGGGCCCTTATCATGGTGATTGGTGTCTTCAATGGACTATTGTTACTGTTCTGCTTGTCCATATGCACTTCAATCCTGTAATTTCTCGATCCCAATGAAGTGTTAACAGTCTCAGGCAACGTTGGATCAACCATGAATTGGAACGGAATCGTATACGTTCCCTTCAAAAGCCTGTGGCCTTCTACTGTATAGCTGCACATCTCATCCACTATTTTGTTTCTAATATCGGTGAATAGCCGCCTGTTGATCTCTCTGGAGAAGACAACATCGACTCTTTCACCGATGAACTTCACGTTGATCTCCTTCAAAGAGACGCTGCTTCGATTCACCTTCACACTGACAACGCCTCTGAGGTACGACATTGGTGCCTCATTCCGCTCAGACGTGTTAACGCCTTTTAACACTACATTGGTATCTTTGACGACAACTCTTACGCTAACTGGTTGCCATATCATTGCCAAACGCTTAAGCGCCGTGATTACCGCCTTTACTGGTTTCATTTTATGATGCTGAGGCCTTTCAAGTTCATATATAAAAGTATGAAATGTAAACAAAAACATGATAGGTGGAGATTTCTGCGTAACCAGCTCAACGGGTACTAAACTTAATTGCTTGATCTAAATAGCTTACCGCTTTGGGGAACAAGCTGTGGGTGTAAAGGTGAAAGAGAAATCGCTAAGAAAAGCGCCTCCGGTGTTAGAATTACAACTAAAATGATGCTAATAAAGCTAGCAAACCGGTCTTCGAAGCCTCCAAAGTGGGTCAATCTGTAGCTAATACTCCCACTAAAAGATGTACAAAGTATGAGCAGGTGGTCAGAAATAGTTTCTGAGATATAACAGTTTGTAGTTTGTATGGTGTAATAGTCAAAAAATGCATATACTTGCTTATATCTCAACAACGGAGCAAACGTAGGAGTATCTGGTAAGCCATGCAAAAGAAATGGTCTATATCATCAGCTACATCGACTCGCACTTTGATTGTATCAGTGTTTCTTCCTAAATAACCTCCGCCGTGTCTTCTTATATGGGTAACTGTGGTTCTTCGTTGCCCTAGCAATCATAAAAATGTTGGGATTTTTCCAACCTTCGCTGCATTGTTTACATTTGGAATTCTTATCAACACAAAATGACACAAAACCAAGACAGCTTGTATACACAAAATTAGAAAAATAACAGAAGAATGACCTCAACTTGAAGAGGAAACATCAGCTGTTAATTCTTAAGCACAGCGGCGGCAACCGCAAACGAATGAAGGTAACGCATCACAAGGAAACTCAGTAACTATTGAGACAGACTAACTGACCTGAAGTGTGAACCACCAGAAGAACCATGGGGAGATTTATCACAACAGCCGCCATTACCTGAACCTGAACCTGAACTTGATAATGGAACTATGGCTGATAGAATAAGAGTTAGGTGAAGAAAGGTGGCACAGGTAGCAGAAAGAGCGTTAGAAGTAATTAGACATGATGGTGCTTTTGATCATGACACTATCGGTTTTAACGAAAATGATGATCCAGTTTATGAACAACAACAACGGAGACCTGGGAGGCTATGGAACTCAGTTTATAATGAAGGTGAGCTTGAGAAGTGTTGAGATTATTGCCATGTTCTCCCTATCAATACTGAATTACCATCTTTTTGTTGTGACAGGGACAAAGTTTTGCTCCGTGAGATATTCAAAGAGCCTCCACAGTACACCTTGGATGTCTTATTGGATCCAATCACATCCAAATATTCTCGAGCAATCAGTACTGGTGATTTAAGGGGTGGAACTTATTCAATGACCATCAACGGCTGTCTATTCCATAGATTTGATGGTATGATATCTCAAGAAAATGACCTAAAGAAATTCGCAGAAATTTAAACACTAAATCCAGATTTGGCTATAAACCGTCACGTTGAATGACTTAGAGATGTTCAAAACCATGAAGCATATAATATACTTGAGGACTACATTAGCAAGACTGGTGAATTTCTTTCTCAAAGCAATCGTTACGCACAGCTGTTACATACCGCTAGAGAAATTGTTCAGCAGGAAATTACAGAGATGGGATTCACCAGAGAAGAAACTGTTGTTGAATTTGCTAATATTGAACCAACAGCACCAACAAATTCAGAACACCGTACTTCTTCATTACCATAGGTTAAAGAGTTCCCCTTGGTGCGCAGAAGCATTACAGCAGAGTATACTCCATTTTCAGTGCGCACAAATAAAACATAATACGGGTTGATTCCCTTCTGTCAATACTATGTGAAGGAGTGTTTTTTTACCTTTGAGCAATCAATTAAGTTGCTAGATGGATCCTTCTAGCTCCCATAGAGAATGCTGTGAGTACAGGATTTATCATTCCCATGGATACATTTAATCCTTTTTAATGGAAGATCATCTTACTATTCTGATATTGGATATTGCTTCAGATGGAACTGTCTACAAATAGCAATATTAATATTATCTGGAATAGTTTTACGTGGTTTGGTGATATTCTTATCTGTTCACACGTTTACACTGTCTCCGACCACCCACAGTTCTTCCTTGTTTTCGTTTTCTCTTCTTAGTCTTGGTGGGTGGCTTGTTTTTGCCAAAATCTGACCCTTCCAAGTGTTGATCCTCCACAAATTCACTTTCCAATGAGGTGTTTGTCAAATCATCCATACTTGGAGAGGTTGGGGTAGCTCTGGTGGCCTTGGTAGATTTTGTGACTTTAATTGCTTCGGGTGGCAATAGTGACTTCTTGATGGATGTAATATCCTGTTTGATTGAGTACACATCGTCAATTTTGTATCGTTGACAAATTTTCTCCACAGAGAGATCACAGATCACCGATGGATGAATGTACATGGGAAATCTTCCTTCAAGAAGCGGCGCAAGATTTTGATAACTGAAAATTTCGATGTCAGACTTACTGGTGCCCTTATTCTCTTTCCACTTTGTAATACAGCTTTCCAGATCGTTTTCGAACTCCCAATTGTTGATTTTAGAGAGCACAGCTAAGACATGAGGATAATAAGTGAATTCTCTAACTTCACCTCTGCACTGGCTACACGAAACATCATCACCATGAATTTTGATGATTACTCCAGCACTGTTCATCAGACTCTTGAAATATTCCTTTCTGAATGGCACATATGATTTCTTGGATCTCTTGAGTGGAGCATGGCAACGTGCGATAAAACTGAGAAGTTCTTCATCAGTATAGGACACCTTTTTGGAATTCAC